AAGTCAGAATTAGAGAACCTTAGTTATCCTCTCTACGCTCCTGTTTATCCAAACCTTGTTGCTACCCTTAGTTAAGTTAGATCATAGTTAGCCTCACACGTTTCCCTGTGGATACAAAACTTAGAATACTTCTAGGTGAAAGCTACAGCAGTATCCATGCGCTTGCGGATTTATCTATGTGCATTAATTTATACCAACAAGCTTTCTGGCACCGTTGCTGGGGAAACAGTTACTGAATTAACTACAAGCCTAGCTTAACCTTTTATCTTTTATTCTTTCTTTTGTTTTAATTTTTTTAGCATGGATTTCACTCCTGTCTATCAATATGCTAAACCCATTAGCGTAAGCCTAAAGCCACCAGAATCCTCTGAGCCTATCATAACACCTGGTTTTGAGCTACGCCCGTGTTTAATAAAATTGATTCGGGATAAATCCTTCTCGGGAGAAGGCAATGAAAACCCATACTCACATGTATAAGAGTTTGAACAGACCTGTGCATGCTTGTGTATTACTGGCATGTCTGACAAGACCTTAAGATGGAAATTGTTTTTGTTCTCTTTGACGAGAAGTGCTAAAGCATGGTATAGTCAAACCGTATGGAGTATGCAAGGAGATTGGAAAATGCTATGCTCTAAATTTTGTTTACATTTCTTTCCCATCTCTAAAGTGGTTAGCTTTCGAAAAGAGGTTCTAAGTTTTAGACAACTAGAAGAAGAATCTCTTGGTACATCGTGGGATCATTTTAATGAACTCATCATCACTGGCCCAGACCTTGCGATTCAAGACCCTGTACTTGTTCAACATTTTTATATGGGTCTTAGCAAGGACTCCATGGAATCCCTTGATGCAGCCTCTAGAGGAGCTTTCCTTCATCTGTCTGCTAGTGAAGCAAGGTCCATGCTTGATAGAAATAGTGGAAAGACTCTCTGCACTAGCATTCCTAATAAACTCCCTGAGGAAGAGAAAGAATCGTCTCCCAAACAAGAAGAGTGAGTTTTGATAGTCAAATCACAACCACTCCAATCTCAAGATTTAGCTATCAATCCCGAACCATCAATACCCCAAAATCATCCAGAAGAAGAAGAAATTCCACCTTTGGAAAGCCCTGATAAAATTAAGGATGATCTTTTTTATGCTGATTTTGGGAAAAGCTTAAACTTTCTGCTACATAAGAGACCTTCGAGCGAATATAATTCAAATCCTCTCAAGAAGGAATCTCTTAGAAAATATCCTTATTCTCATATAGGACATTGGGAAGAACTCAAGGGTGACATGTCAAGTGATGCTATAGTAGGAGAGCTGAGTCATTTAGCCAATCATATCTTCTCCCCTTCTATGCCCACGTTAGATGTCTTATCTAAACCCATCCTTGATCCTGATGATTCCCCTTATGATCTTTCTCCTAAGTCTCATGATGATCCTAGAAATCCATTAAGACAACCAAATTATAGGAGTCATAAAGGCCACAAGGAAGACCAAGAAGAGCAACAACAATGGCTGGAGGATATTAAGAACTTATGTGCCATTGCCATTGAATGGATGGACGAGGCCTTGGACAAGATCAACCCAAGAGTCACCAATCCAAGAGAAATCTTGGACTATAAAATGATCAATGAATGTCATAGGCATGGAATGATGGAGATAATGTTTCCGTCTATAGGCATTCATGAAGAATCAACCTTAGAGTCTAAAAAGAAAGATGATATCTACGAGCATGGAAGCTATTTCATTAACACCTCATCAAACCCATGCTCATATGAGAAATCTCCTGAAACAATTGGTTCCTCCAACATTGCCACACACGAGATCTTCACCCCCCTCATACTTCCTGTTCATAAAGACTTTAAAAGGGTGGTTGTAGATGCATATGTTTATTATAAATATTGTAAATCTCATTGGCATGAATCTTGAGATAGGCACCCAAAGGTTGGTGTTGGAGGGAAAACCACTTCACCAAATTGAAACACAATTAGAAGGTTTCGCAAGAACGAGCTTTTGTCCTAAAGCAAGCACTTTTAGGAGATAACATGAGCTTTCACCTTTTGCTATAATGCCCTTGTGAAGTAAGCATAGAAATATAATTGTGAAAATATTCCTTCGACTATTTTTGTTACTAACCATTCTAGGTTCGAAGCAAAAAGAATGAAGGATGACAATGTCAGGTATGTTCAACCAATCATCATGCAACATTGAATCACATTCACACACGAGAGTTCTATCATCCCAATTTGATTTTGCTACAAAATTCAAGTCTGGGTGATGAACTGAAAAATCTTATGCCATGTTGCTAGTTTTGGTTGTCTCTACCATTAAGCCATGCTCAACTTGCTAAATAACAATCATGCTCTTTCATCTCCACTTAAATAAATCTCTATAATGCTTTCATGCTACATTTGTCTGCTATAGTATATGCGTAGGTTTTGAAGTATTTTCATACACCTTTTAAATTAGGCATGGTGCTTAGTTTAAACTATTTTCTTGAATCAAATTAGACGAGGTGTTTAGTTTGATTTTGAACCAAGAGGTGCGTTGATCTTACTTCTAAAGGCTTTTAAATTAAGCGTGGTGCTTAGGTTAAAATACCTTCCTAAATCAAATTAGACATGGTGTCTATGTTGCTTTTTGAGCCAATAGTATGATGTAGTAGATACTGGATATTTTGTCAGACTAACCCCTACAGGAAACTTTCAATTCAATCTGGATAAGTCACGAGATGAATTCAAATTGGAGATGAAGAAAGGCATATGACAAACTCCAATAACTTTGTATAAAGAAGGCAGATGAAAGCACTGTAAGTATCAATGTTCATTCACTGTCTTTTGTTGTAAGTTACCTTTGCCTTGAGCCATGCTTGTATAAAAAACATGATCTCTATGCTAAAAGTAATCCCAACACCATATTTTCATTAGCATAGCGGGAAATTACAAAATTTGGGATAAACAACCCGTGTTTTAAAATTGTATATTCCTTTAGGTATGTGTTGTCCACTAATCCTTTGCAGGCATAAAACAATGAGTGAGGCAGAAAGTTTAATATGGTGTCAAAAGATCGAAGAGTAGAAAGATGGCATGATAAAAGGATGAGAAAGAAAGAATACAATCTAGAAAGGAAGCTCATGAACAGCTCAAAATGCGAGGCTAGTCGAACAAGGAAAACTTCAAGCAAAAAGGAAAGGATCATCACAAGTCAAATACCTTCGTCATATGGTGACATTATGCTCCAATGACAAAGGTAACATCCTAAGGTAAATGGTCATTATTTAAAAACCTTTTCCTTGATTCCGGTAGGCACATAAATAAGAAACAAAATATGTTTGAGTTATAATTTACTTGATCAAACCTGGCTAGCTTAACATGTTTAGTTCTTTAAGCTTATTCCTAGCACCACTTTCTTAAGCACATGGCCTTAACCAATTAAACTAAAAAGTGTACATCCTATCTTTGGAAGATGATAATCATAATCATGTAAAGAATGATACATTATGTAAAGATAGACAATCCTTCGATTGGTTAAGCAATTCAACCCTTTGGGCCAAATATACTTAAATGTTACACTCATGCTCAACCTTTTGATCTTATCACCTATGACATAATTGAACAAAACACACATCATCAACTTCATCTTGTTCAATGTGTCTAAGGTTAGAGAAGAATAAGTAAAGTTTTGGTTTTGTTGATGTTTTCCCACCAACAGAGCCCATGCACTTGATCTCTATCTTGTTTTATGAGCAGGACATACTTCAAGCAAAGTGTGGGGGAAGACAGTCGATTCCCCAAATTTCTATAGGTGAAAGTCCTAAACCTGTCAAACCAAAATTAAATTCAAAAACCAAGACGGGTTTGGCTGAAAAAGGTGACATCACCATAGAGGCGTCATCACAAGAATCCTCATCTTCAGAACAAACCGAGAAACTCGATCAATGAACTTCACAAGGAGAAATCCGGTTCAAAGGACTTAAGACGTTGAACCCTCACTGAAAGAGCTAGCTTGGGGGAGAAGCACTTCCGTGTATCCAGGTAAGTATTCTTTTCCCTTTATTTTAGTTTTAGTTTCTTTTAATTAGTAAAAAATAATGAATGAAAAAAAATAAAAATTTATCTTTGCTTTGATCATTTATAGTAATAATGTGTGTCTAGTTTGCTTTAATTTATTTTTAAAACCTGAATAAAATAAAGAGGACTCTGAATAATCTTTTAAATGGAAATGATGAATAGTTGCTCTGTTGTAATTCCTTTCAAGTACCTAGTTTCTAGCCTTAAATTCTCCCGAGTTTTAGATAAGATTGTTTTGATATAATGATTTACTCTAAACTTAAAACTCGTGGGTAGTATATGCTTAATCTAAGTCTAGGTAATTGACGGATATGATATGAAAAGGTTTGAGATGTTATTTATCTTGTTCCAAGTGACACTAAAGTTCTAGAGATTTATCTTTAAAAAAAACAAAAATATTACATGATGAGTTCCTGTATGATAAAACTTGAATTCCCACTAGAGGCATACATGTTATTTAGGCTAGAAAAACTTCTATATACTGCTTGCTTTTGCATTGAATTTTGTCAAACTTTGTTGACCCTTATGAGAGGTTTATCTTGCTCTTAAAATCAAGATCATGTACACACCACCCACATATGCACTACTCCTACACCGGAGATAGGCGCAAAAGAATGATTTTGTTCTCACATGGAAGTGTTCTGTTTCAGGTTAAATCTTCCCGTGGAGGCCCGATAGTCTACCAACAACCACAAGCGCAGATGGGCTGGCCCAAAATCGTCCTGGGCCAGTGCACGGGCTCTCGCTTTCCTGTCAGAAAAGGCTCCTAGCCCACGACGGCGACGCACTGGATTGGGTTGGGACAGAACGAGCGACGGCGAGGAGACGGCGATAAGATTTGCCACACCTTGGTCTGTAGCTGGGAGACCGCACGGACGGCGGCGAGGGGCTCCAGCAAGGCGGCGTCCACGAGTCACGACCAACCCAGCAGCAGCGGCAGGTCTGCTGATGCCAGACTCCCCCCAGCTCCACCACTCACCTCCCCCTCCCGCGCCGCCGCCGCCGCCGCCGCCGGCCAGCTCAACACCAGCCGCGTCAGCGGCAGCAAATGCGCAACCCAACCTGGTACATCACTGCAGGCGCCCACCATATCTTCTTCTCGTCTTCTTTTCTGCGGGAAAAAAATCGGATCTTTGCTGAGGTTGCTGCTTGCATTGTTCCGTTGTCCAGGTGAAGCTGAGGATGATCATCAAGGGCGTGCTCGGGCGGTACCAGCGCTGGAACCCCGTGCACCCGACGGCCGGCGCCTTCTGGGGTGTGGGGCTCGGCCTCGGCTGCGGCGTCGGCTGGGGCCCCGGGTTCGGGCCTGAGGTGATTGGGTACGTCGGCGCCGGGTGTGGCGTGGGTTTCAGCGTTGGGTTCACGCTCGCCGGCATCGGGATCGGCCTGCCGCAGCACGGCCTCATCAGGAACCACGACCACGGTGGTAATTAGTTATGCTCTCTTCTTGTAGTTGTGTTCCCTTCAACAAGTAATCATACACTGCGGTTGGTATTGGTGGACTAATTCTTGGATTCAGTGGGAGCTTCAGTTAGTGTAGTACGTACTATTATCCCTACCTGCTTATTGTGAGAAACATAATGAAAAATTTGGGTCAAATAGCAAGTAATTGGGTGAAAAAAGGTATTTTTAGTAGTATGGTTGCCATGCTCTGGAGGGGATATCCAGTCAACCATGCTTCACCTGTCCTTGTTAATGTTTTTATACATAGGATCCCCTGCAATCTATCAGGAAATGTGGTTGGTGCACATGAATTAGCAAGCTGACAGTATGTTATCATTACTAATGCACATTAATTCGCAGGCCTCTGTGCCCAATTCTTTGTTGCTATCCCAACCTTTGTATATATACAAGCATCTGTCACATGAATGACAGATCTGCCTTCTGAACTTCACCTGTAGGTTTTGCAAGTAACGTCCCTGTTGATTCAGCAAGATTTTACGCAGTAACCATCATCAGAGGTTTGGTATGGGATGCCATCAGCTATGCGGGTAATATAGCGGCTATGAGGAAAGAATCTCGACAGAAGCTTCTGAGGTTCCAGGACAACCCTCCGGTATCAGGAGGAGTTGATCTGCCCAAGCTGGGGAAGGGCGTGTCAAGTTGCATCCGCTCCACAGTGGAATGCATCAGGGCCTTCAAAGATCAGCATTGGCCTCCTTAAAAGACTCATGGGCAATCAAAGCTGGTTTTAGGTTATAGGTACCGCAACGGAAACTTAAAAATGACGATATACTAATTTTTGTTTGTTTTCATATGAAATAAAGTTCCAGTAATATTGTACTCCTCTAAAACCATGTAACCTACATTTGTATTAGTGTAAGTACTCCTTACCATTGAACTATTTATACCGTGGAAGTCTGAAAGTGTACTATTGAAGCATGACTCCAATGCACTCTTGGACACTTTAACAGCTTCTGATTGTTTGGAGGCGAGCAAATGATCGAGATAGCTCAAGGATTATCTGAAGAAGGTGGCCGGTTCTGCACTACACGCACAAGCACAAGTAGCCGTCTGAAGGCATGGTGCTTCAAATGCTGCAAAAGAGTACCACTGTGAGCTATTTGAAAGCAACAGCCATGGCTAGGAGTTTGCTCGGATTGCTCATGCTTGCAGATGCCCTTGTTGTTTTCCTGAACTTTTTTAAGATTCGTGGGCACGTTGCCTTGCTGAAAACACCTAGTTCCTCGGAAATGTTTGTCTGTATGTATGACCAGCCGCTGGTCTCTTCGTCTGGTCTGATCAGCCGCGGCTTTGTGGTTGTGGCGCTCGGCATTCATGCTCGTGCTGGCTGTAATGTGATGCACGGGAGCAGGCTGCGTATGAGTGCGCATACTGACTTTCACACTGTTGGTTTCAGCCAGGTTTATTTAACCAACCAATAGTGTTTTCCTTTCATAACAAACCAGCACCAGTCAGCCCAAACTAGCCCAGAAACCAACCAGCGGAGGGCTATTGGTTCGTGTACAGGAGCAGGCTGCCGCAGCAAAACCAGCAAGGTGGCTAGCAGATCAGGTTGGTGCCGCTGCATTGTCTCTGCAGCCTACCTCTCTTCCCTTTGCCTGCAATGCCCCGTGCATTCATGTTGTGGACTGTGGTGTTCCTCCTCCAGGCTTGCCCCTCTCCCTCCGCCTGCAATGCAGGAGCCTCTGCCCGGCCGGCCAGTATGGCCTGATCTTACAGTAGCTTTTGCGCAATGATTTCCTCTTACAGGGATGTTTTTTAGTTCTTCAGATAGGCAATGATGCCAATGCAGTACATATCTCGATCAGCTTTAGGCCAATAATATAATGAAAGGAAAGAGAGATTGTTTCCTCCAGCAACATCCAACAACAGGGGTGGCGTTACGTGTTGCATGCGTGCAGTCGTCTGACCATATCTAGGCTTCAGACATGGATGGTTTATTCTTTTTTTTTCTTTTTCTGCAAAAATCAGTAGTGATATACATATCGGCCTTAGAAGGAATTTCGCTACCTTTTGGCTCGGCTTCCATGGGTTCCGGCTTCGGCTCCCGATCGTACTATCGAGCATTGTTGAACTATGTTCAATACTGTAGAACAAAACATGCAGCTCTGACTCCTACATGCCTAAAATGAAATACGGAGAGGAGCCGGTGGAGATGGTTTCTTAGGCTTCTCCGACTCCTACAGTACTGGTACAGTTGAGGAGCTGGATCGGAGCATCCAAGAGCCGCACTGAACCGGTAGAGTCTCTGGTTCGGTCTTTTACCGGTCCTTCCAATAACTATAGGTCAGAGGGAGAGAGAGAGAGAGCTCCATCCATTTCTCATTTTAAGATATTTGTGCAAAGTCTGTGATGAAACGATTACCGTACAAATAAAGTGCTTTTCTACTATATTAAGGATCTTTATGCTTATGATGCCACAAATACTCCCTCTAGTAAAAAAATATGACATTTTTTTTTACCTTTTATATGGTCTTTAAGATGAGGCTTTGACAATAAACTTTCTATTAAAATATAGTTATAATGTCTAATTGATGTATCCCATTACAAATGTGTACATTCAATACAAAACTATACACATTAGTTTTACATGTCAAGCTAAATATTTGAAATCTATCAATGGTTAGATTTCAAAAGTTTGACAAGAACTTATTCAGTGTTATACATATATATATAATTGTTTCCTCTAGGAAAAACTGTCAGACTTTAGCATGCAAGATGACACCTTTGCAGATGGCACCAAAGGTACTTTTTCTAGGGAAGGCAATAGGAGAGCTTTGCTAATCAACAAAAGAGGAGATGTTTTATAAAAAGAAAAGGATACTACCAAAAGCACATATATAGGTTGAGAACGAACATTTTGATAATAAGTGATATGTACAGTATTGATTTATCATATTTTAGTATTGCAATGTTTTACCATTATGGGCCTGTTCGCTTGTTTGAATTTTGGAGGAATCTGGATGGTTTAGAGGATTGCTGGTGGAATTTGTGAGAGAAAAATACTATTCCGGATGAAAAAATAAACGGATCCAGCCAGGTGTAAGGGCACGCGAACGGAGTCTATATTGCAGCGGGGCGGTCTGAGCTGTATTTTAAAGATCAGTACCAATAACAACACATTTTTATTAAATGGATAAGATGGATACTGCTAATAATAAGCTGTCAATCAAACGTAAATCGTGCTGCCTTACGGCGCTACACCGGCCACCTGGTCTGCATTCCCAATATCTCCTGAAAAAAAAGAGGGCCGGCATGATTCAGTGGCCCGTTCCCTGGTCTGAACTTGGCTAAAACTGGCTGAAAAATATTATTCCGACCGAATTGTTGTGAGAGAAAAATACCGTTCCAGCTAAAAAAAAACCGAACAAGCCGAATATAGAGTAAGCCGAACAGGGCAGCTAGAAAAACAGAGAACTCCCTCCATTTCTCATCTCAAGATTTAAACTTTGTAACCAACGACTAATCTAGCGATATTGTGCAAAGTCTGATAAAAAAAGATCGATACAATTAAATCTGTACAAAATACGTTGCTCCTATATTAAAGACCCTCACGGGTAAAATACAATTGTAATGCAGGACGTTTTATTCTTTATTGTCTTCAAAGGTTTGATTTTGAGCATAAATCTTCTATTAAGGTATTTAGTTAAAATGTCTAACAAACTAATTGTATGTGACTATTGTAAATGTGTCATTCAATACAAATTTAGACATATGTGAATTTTGTATTTGAAACTAGATATTTTGAAAGCTATTGATGGTCAAACTTTTAAAAGTGTGACTAGAAGTTAACTACTCTCTCCGTATCAAATGATAAGATGTTTTGACTTTTCTAGATACATTGCTTTTGCTCTATATATCTAGACATAGTGTATATCTAAGTGCATAGCAAAAACTCTGTATCTAGAAAAGCTAAAACGTCTTAATTTCTAATGGAGGGAGTATTAGTCAATGCGTCTGATATTTGTGGCCAGAGGAAGAGGGGAAAAGTAACTGTCAAATTTTAGCATTATGTTAAGATATCATCACAACAAGTGACCCTATGTGTCAGTAGTAGTATGAACATTTAGGACATATACAAGAATGTCGACGAAATATGGTCGGCAGTCTACCTAGGGGTATACCCAAGGTAGTAGATTGTCGGTAGACAGATACGCAAGCCACAAACAAGACGGTGACGCAAGATGACACAAGGTTTTATCCAGTTCGCCGCCAAGAAGGCGTAATACCTACGCCCCGTGTCCGATTTGTATGCTATATGTCAATGAGAGATGTTTTTAGAGGATCCCCGCCCGCCTTATATAGTTCAAAGGCGAGGTTCTGATCTGAAACTAATCCTAGCCGATTATAATTGCCATATGTGGCGGATAAGGATTCCTATTCTAACCGACCGAGGATCTTGATTGATCGCCAAATCCGCCTTGACTCCTTGTGCGGGACTCGATCAAAGTTAACCGGGCAAGACGTCGTCTTTTGGTGGACCGAACCCATCGATCCGGCCGCCCAAGCTTAGCCATAAGGGTATAGGGGTTAATACCCCCACGGCTAATCCCCGAGCACCATGTATTATGATGCGACACGCCATTTTAACCTTCTCCGACAAGTAAGGCTTGAGCCCTTGACGCGTCTCTCGACCACCGTTGTCGCCGGAGAAGTCGGTTGTCCAAGAATATATGGTGCTCTTAAAAAAAAAAAAAAAAGATTTTCGTCACGGGAAGTGTGCCCACTTGTATTTACGAAAAGAAATGTAAGTGCGTCTTGAAGTCTGGCGTCCTTGATCATCGAGGCGTGAGGGTGAAAAACAAACACATTCACCGCAAGGTGAAGTGTGCCCACTTAGTCCCCGAGCACGGTAGTAGGTGGCGAGGCACGTGGTGCGTGGTCTAAAAAGAATTCCCGATTAAGTTGAGAATCCAATCGTCAGACAAAGCGATACGAGATGCACCGACAGTGCATCGCATACCGATGTAGTCCCCGAGCTTGCTTTGGAAGGCGAGGTATGAGCCTTGTAGCAAGGTCTAAATAAACGCGTCTCTCAAGCGTATGTGAGTACAAATCACATGTAGCCGAGAAGAACGATCTCCGGCAAATGGTCGGGGCGGTCCCCGAGCACATCAAGATGGCGGAGCAGCCCCCAAGCGTGGCAATGGTCCGAGCGGTGCCCGAAAACGCAGCGATGTCCAGGCGATCCTCGAGCACAGTAGTGGTCAGGCGATCCCCGAAAGCACGGCAATGGTGCGGTCCATCATTGAGCTCAAGATATGCAAACCCAAAAGAAAAGAACGCCGATTGTATTATTATTTGGTGTATTTATTTATCTCCTTACTCTGTCAAGTCAATCGCCACGTCTGTTTCAAAAAAGCGAGACGGATATAACATATCACTCGCCTTCTTACTCTTTCGACAAGCGATGCGCTTGGCGCATGTATGGAGGTGCGTCGATGTGGGGCCTCTCACATTATCAACGAAGAGGTGCGCATACACCGGAAACGAAGGAACACGTTCTTTGGCGAGATCTCGAGGTTGTGAAAACAACCGTCACAAGGCAGCGTCGCGCACGCCTCCCAAGAATCTCGGTAGGCGAAACAATGGAGCCCTTGGTTATTTATAATATAGAGCTGGTAAGTTACTTTTTACCGATCCCCATTGTCATTCACCGCCGCAACCTTCTTCTTCCTCTCGTCGAACCCTACTCCTCCG